ACATGAGGTACACGTGGATTGACATTTGCAAAAATTAATGTTTAATTGTAATCATTTCCACATAATTATTTCTTTTTTGATATGTTTTTGCCAGTCATGTCAGCAGGGGTGACCTGTCTTCCCCTGTGCCTCAGTCACCTGATGCCCATTGTCTCAGTCCAGCTGATGATCACGTGGCAGAGGCGCGCCCCTCACTGTAGAGTTGATAGTCTCCCTTTCTCAGTAGGAAGCGTTTAGTAGGGATTTGTTGAGAGATGGGGCAAAGTCCATCACATGGCATCTGGAAGGGCCCCACTTCTTAGCTTCTGTTTGGTTTGGGAGATAGCCACCCTACTTTTCTTTCCTACAGATCATTGGCTTTTGACATAGGAGCTTTAACCAATTAGGCCTTCCTGTAAATATTCATTATATTCTATACTCATGTCAGGGACATACTTTACATGATCACTTTTTGAATTTTCTGAAACGTTTAGAAGAATGATATTATTAACATATCTTCAGTTAAATTTCTATGATTGTAGCTCTCCACTAATGATACACAGATATTTTCCAGTAAATGAGTTTCTAAGAAACAAGAGGTTTAATTTATTTTCTATCATTATTTGAATTCCTCGCCTTATTGTGTTTATAATACTCAAAGGGTATTGTTCACAAATGGATCCATGAAACTTATGGAATCACAAAATAATCTTGATTTCATTGACGTGACAATTCTGTTTTCTATGGCTTTTATGTTGTACATAGTTCTCATATGTACGTCTGTCTCTACATACAATGTTAACATTGTTTGAGCTTTTTTTACTTGCTTAACCTGACTTTATTCTTCTTCTCAGTTACACGCTCTATCCACTGAGCCAAACCGGTTTTGGCATCTTTCTTTTTTAATTGTACTAGTAGGGATGACAGAGGAGAGGGAGAAGCAGAACTGAGAGTCAGCCAGCTGTGGGTAACAGGACAGACTATAACAGGGACTGCAGAGGGGACACAGAAGTGGGAAGAGAAAGAACCAGGTGTGTACATAGATAGGAGCAATCAGAAAGACCATAGAGAAAGGGCAACTGAAGGTGAAATAGGTTTCGGGAGTTTCATGGTGCAGGAGCAGGGACAGAATAGAGAAAAGGGGAAAAAGAGCAGAGAGATGGAGGGGGACACAGGAAAAGTCCAATCAGCATGGTTCAGTGGTTGAAGGTGGACCTATGAACCAGGAGGTAACAGTTTTATTCCTGGTCTTGTTTTTCGGCTTAGTCCCCACTGGGAGGCTTGCAGGAGACAGCCAATCAATGATTCTCTCTCATCATTGATGTTTCTATCCCTCCCTCCCTCTCCCTCCCATTCTGAAATCAATAAAAATATATATTGTCACCTGAGAAAACAACCCAGACCCCCATCAGGACAAGGACCAAATGGCTGCTTCCCAGGTAAAGGATGGGTCTTGTGTCAGAGGCTATGTTTGCTTTTTCTTGAACATCTGTGTATATATTTCTCTTTCCCTTATTACACCTGTGTCCCCTCTGCTGCCCCTGTTACAGTCCTGTTCCCCATAGCTGGCTGATTCAGTGTTTCTTCTCCCTCTGTTCATCATCCCTAAACCCCCCCTTTCTGTCGCTGCCCTCGCTCCCCCAGTTCTTCTCCTCTGGACCAGACTACCTATCTGAAGTGCCTCCCACTTCGTTGCCTGCACTTCTGTTCACCAGGGTGCCTCTCTCTTGTCAGCTCCACTTGTTGTCTCTGGGACTCCTTCCTCTCCTCCATATTTCTCTAGTTCTGACGTTCTTGCCTTTGCAGGTTGTTTTCCTTTCCTTATTTCTTTCCTTTTTTCTTATGATAGTCAACGTCAACAGTTTCTATATTTCCCTCTCTCTTTTTTAATATATGTTTTTATTGGTTTCAGAATGGTAAGGAGAGGGAGAGACAGATAGAAACATCAATGAGAAGAGAGAATCCTTGATCAGCTGCCTACTGCACACCCCCCACTGGGGATCCAGTCTGAAACCTGGAGTGTTCAGGAATGGAACCCTGCCCTCCTGGTTCAGAGGTCAACACTCTGCCTCTGAGCCTCACTGGCCAGGCTATACTTGTCTCCTTTTTCCCAGAGGCTTCTCTGCCTTCATTTTATGCAGCCTCCCCAAGGGCAGGAAGCATTCCCACCTTTAATTAACGACTTTCAACTACTCAGAACATCCCTTTAGTGACAGATCCACCTGGGAAGGCAGCCATGTCTAACATCCCTATTGGGATGGGGTCAGAGGCTCTTGTGTCTTGAAGAAGGGAAAGGGAGGTTTTAGGTTCAAGTGGCTGCAGCATCAGCTCTTGATCAGGGGTGAGAAAATGCACATTTGACAGCTCAGAATTCCTCGGCAAGTTCTATAAGAAGAATAAATGGAAGAGACTTGCTCACTAGATTAGTACAAAAGACTTGGTAGTTAAATGTACTATTAGCTTACAGAACGTGAGAGGTACCTATGGATTGACACTTGCAAAAATTAATGTTTATTTGTGATCATTTCCACATATTTATCTTGTAAAGCCACATGCATTTGCAACTAGGGTTCATGATCTGGTAAAGCGGCCACGCACAAACAAATGCACTGACAAGAAATATGAATTTAGAAGGCATGGGGGCCAGGCAGAAACCTTTCTAGTGGAGAGGCTCTCTGAAGCTGAGGCCCTGTGGGCTTTTATTCAGTTTTAGAATACACATCTTGCCCTTAGCTGGGCAGGCAATCCAGTAGCGGAAAGACTATCTTAAAGGTTAGTAAATATTTGTAAAGATTTACTTTGAGACTATTAGGTAAGGAAATTGCTTGAGCCATCATTAGCAGGACAGAACAATGGGTGCATAGCTTTAGCCTTTGCTAAAGCTCAAGATTATCAGCCTTCCAAGTTCCCTGTTGCACTTTCATATTTGTGTAGACAATGGATAGCTTCCAGCATATTTATTGATGTATTTTTGAAAGGAATGTCACAGCAGTGGTGACCTGACCTTCCGTGTGCCTCAGTCACCTGATATCCATTATTGTCGCCGTCCATCTGATGATCACATGGCAGAGGTGCTCCCCTCACTGTAGAGTTAATAGTCTCCCTTTCTTAATAACAAGGGTATAGTAGGGAGTTAACGAAAGTTGTGCAAAGACCATCACTTCACATCTGGACATGTCCCTCTTCTTAGTTTGTGTTTGCTTTGGAAAATGGAGGACTTGCTTTTATTTCCTACAGATCATTGGCTTTTTCATGGGACCTTTAAACAATCAGGCCTTGATTCTTCAACTTTTCATTATATTCTTTGCTCACATCACAGACCCTACCTTATCATTTTTTGTATTTTCTAGAAAGTTTCCAAGAATGACATATTAATGTATGTTCAGTTTCATTAAATTTCTGACATAGCTCTCCACTAATGATATATAAAAATTTTGAAAGTAATGTATTAGTAAGAAAAATTAGTTCCCCCAGCCTGGGGTGGATCACTGGTTGAGGGTTTGATTCCTGGTCCAGGGCAAGTAGGTCCTGGGTACCTATGGTAGGCAATTGATCCATGTGTCACTTTCACATTGCTCACTCTCTCTCTCTCTCACTGCCTTTCGTGCCTCTACCTTCCTGCCTTCTACCCTCCAAAACTCAATGGAAAAAACCTCCCCATGTGAGTATTTACAACCACACAAAGGAAACAATAGGTCTAACTTGTTTTCTATCCTTATGTTTCTCTCCTTATTGTGTTTATAAAACACAAAGGAGATCAAACAAATACATTCATGAGTTTTATGGAATCACTAAACCATCTTGGTTTCATAGTTGTAAAATGTGTGTCTCTGTTCCTAAACTGTTAACATTATGTCAGCTACTTTTTCTTTTTTTCCCCTCAAGTACATTTTTATGAATTTCAGATAGGAAGGAAGAGACAGAGAGAGATCGAAACATCAATGATGAGAGAGAATCATTGATTAGCTGCCTCTAGCAAAACCCACACTGGGGATCGAGCTCACAACTTGGTCATGTGTCTAGACCGGATATCAAACCAGTGACTTCTTGGTGCATGGGTCAGCCCTCAACCACCGGGCCACACCAACTGGAGCAGGCAGGATAATCTTGTTGGAAGATTACTCATAGTAAATTTCCAACTAGGATTGTGATTCCTATGTGTCATATTCTATGAGAACTGTACTCTATGAACAAACCCTTTTAGTTCAAAGTTCTATATGAATTTTTTCCTTTTTTGACTGTGTATTCAGAATTATGGCACATGATGCAGAAACATTGGCATCACAAGTAAAAATTGAGCTGGTTACACATGTGGAAACACAGGCCCCATCTCAGAACCTGGATCAGAATCTGTGTCTTTACAGAAGTTCCTTTCAATGTGGTCTGCTTCACAGTTGCGAAGATGTCCCTATGCTTCCAACCCACCAAGTCATTTACAGTTGAGAAATATACACCACTGACCCTGAAGGATGCAAACACAGCACTCAGAAATCCATATGCCTGTCTGTGTCCTGGCCTTAATTTTATTTCATTTAAAAATATATTTGTATTTATTTCAGAGAGGACGGGAGAGAGAGAGAGAAACATGAATGATGAGAGAGAATCATTACTTGCCTGCCTCCTGCACACCCCCTACTGGGGATGAAGCCTGCAACCCAGACATGTGTCCTTGACCAGTATCAAACCTGTGACTCTTCAGTCATTTTATCCACTCAGTGCAGTTCCTAGTGAGCAGGCCAAGAGTCTATCCATTGAGCCAGACCGGCTAGGACGAGGCCTTAATTTTAAAGTTTATTTTTCTCTAAAGTAAAATCTGTACTGTGGGCTAGTGGACATGTGTCATCCTCATTTGTCAGTGTTAGAAAACACCTCAGAGAATGTTATTAGGGCAAAGTGATCTTATTGGATGATTCAGGATATTCCCCTAGTTCCAAACCACTTCTCCCTAAACACTGTTTTCATGTTGGGTGACATTATGAACTCTTCTGGTGACCTCTTGGTAAATGTGTCTTTTATTTCAGGGACCATTGACCTTCAGGGATGTGGCCATAGATTTCTCTCAGGAGGAGTGGGAATGCCTGGACGAAACTCAACAGAAATTATACATGGATGTGATGTTGGAGAACTACAGCAACCTGGCTTCTCTGGGTGAGGATGGCTTCCTTCCCAAGTTCCTACTCCACCTCCAGAGTTTTGTTTCCTTTATTATTTTAACACTAGAGGACTGGTGCACGAAATTCTCGCGGGGGTAGGGTCCCTAGGCCTGGCCTCCCTGCCTCCTGTGCTCCTCCTTCTCTTATTCCCTCGGCGCCTTGCTGCCGCTGCCGGTCACCTGCCATGTTCCCCTGGTGGTCAGCGCAGGTCCTAATGAACAACCGAACTCCCACTCTCCCAGTTGAATTCAGAAGTGCACAATTTGCATATTAGCTTTTTTATATATATAGATAGATGTCTAGGGGCCTTCTGCTTTCTATGGTAGATTTTTGCTCTCGAGGGAAAATTGGGCCCTAGCTGGTTTGGCTTATTGGATAGAGCACTGGCCTGCAGACTGAAAGGTCCCGAGTTCAATTTTGGTCAAGGGCCAATGCCAGGGTTGTGGGCTTGCTGCCCAATATGAGGTGTGAAGGAGTCAACTAATCAATGATTCTCTCACATCATTAATGTTTCTATCCCTCCCTGCCTCTCCCTTCCTCTCTAAAAGCAATAAACATATGTATATATTTTTAAAAAGGAACAAATTGGGCTTCTTTGGTGTAGAAAAGAAAGGCTTTGTGATGTATGTGAATTAGAAACTTAGTGTTTGCACACTTTACATGTTGTCCACAGTGATTAAGATAGTATCAAAAATAATATTTTAGAAAATAATTTTCTAGAATATTCTAAGATTCTGCCATGTCTTCTGGCCATTGAGCAACCAGGATTGGAAATGGGAAAGCCTTTATCTATCAGAATTCACACTGCATTTTCTTATATTTTTGTATTTTTTAAGATTTTCTTGATTTCAGGGAAGAAGGGAGAGTTAGAGAGAGAGAGAAACTTCAGCTGGTCATTAATTGATTTTTTTGGTACGTGCCCGACCGGAGAGAAAACCTCTGACTTTGGTATATCGGTACAGTCATTTAAGCAACTGGCCTACTACCTGTGCAGGCAGATTGTATTCTTTTAGGTAGTTCTCTCCATTTAGGTTTTTATTATGTCTTTTCATGGCTTGATGTATTATTTCTTTATAGTAGTGATTAAGACTTCCTTGTATTTCCTTCAGTGTATTTATCCATTCACTAGCTGACAGGCCTCTTCATTGCTTTCAATTTTTGTCAATTATGAATAAACAGCCCCTTGTAGGCTTTTATGTCGATAAAAGTGTTTTTATTTTTTAAATACATTTTACTGACCTTTTACAGAGAGGCAGGGAGAGGTTTTAGAGAGTTAGAAACATCGATGAGAGAGAAACATCGACCAGCTGCCTCCTGCACACCACCTACTGGGGTCCTGCCTGCAACCAAGGCACATGCCCTTGACCGGAATTGAACCGGGACCCTTGAGTCTGCCCACTGACGCTCTATCCACTGAGCCAAACTGGCCAGAGCTGTAGATAAAAGTCTTAATTCTTTGGTTTAATAGTGAGGAGCCCAATTAGTGGATCCCATGGCAAGTTTATATTTAATTTCATAAAAACCTCCAGACCATCTTCCCAAGGGGCTGTAGCATTTGACATTTTCACTGGCAGTGATTGGAGTTCCAGTTGCTCCACATCACCAAGGCATTTGGTGGGGTCAGTGTTCTGGATTCTGACCCTTTCAATGGTGGTTGAGTGTTGCTTGCCTGCTACTTCTCATTGTTATAATGTGCATTTCCTTAGTGACATATGATGTGCAGGATCTTCTGATTTTCTATGTGTATATATTTTTTAGTACTTGCGTTAAGGTGTTTGGCCCCTTTCAGTCATGTTGGTTATTTTGTCCATGTTGAGTTTGAAGACTACTTTTTCTGTTTTGCATAATTACCCTATACATGTTGACTATATATATATTGATTTCAGAGAGAAAGGGAGAGGGAAAGAGAGAAACCTCAGTGATCAGAGCAAATCTTTGATCAGCTGCTTCCTGCACACCCACTACTTGAGATTGAGCCGGCAACCTGGGCATGTGCCCTGACCAGGATTCGAACCATGTCCTCCTGATTCTCAGGTTGATGCTCAACTGCTGAGCCATGCCAGTCAGGGTGTGTTAACTTTTACAAATATATTTTCTCAGCCTGTGGATTTTCGTTTTTCTGTTGTGGATACCATATTTATTGTTTTTTCTTTAATGTTTGAGTTGATACATTGGGAGTTTCTGTTTTAATACAGTGGATTGAAATACAAGTATGGTTATGTATTTAACTCTCAGGAACATGCAGTGTATAAAATAAATGTAGTTTTATATTCAACTAGAGGCCCAGTGCACGAATTCTTGTTCCTGTGGGGTCCCTCAGCCTTGCCTGCTATATCGAGCTGAAACCTCCTCTCTGAAACCTGCTCTCCAACATCCCTTGAGAGGTCCTGGGTTACGAAAGGGCGCAGGCCAGGCCGAGGGACCCCACCAGTTCATGATCGGGGCCTAGTAGAGATGCAGGAGGTTGGTCAGCTGGGAGGGACCACAGGAGGGCTCCAGGGCATGTCTGGCCCGTCTTGCTCAGTCCCAATTGGCTGGACCCCAGCAGCAAGGTAACCTACCCCTCGGAGTGTCTGATCCCTGGTGTTCAGTGCACATAATAGCGAGTGGTTCAGCTGCCTTAGCATATAATTAGCGTAATGCTTTGATTGGTTGAACGGTCGACTGGACACTTAGCATATTAGGCTTTTATTGTATATGATAACGTGTAAGTTATATTTGCAGCTATTGTGTCATTTCTGGAATAAAGATATAGTGAGTCATGTCTTGAAGATGAGTTGAGATATAAATTTTGTTTTCTTTCATGTCATATATCAAATGAAGTCTTTTAATTTATTTTGAATGGTAGAGCATCATTATAAAAATAGTCCTTTTTTCCAGTCCCATATATTCACAATTGCAAATAGTGCTGCAATGGATATATGGGTGGGTATATCTTTTTAAATTCGTGTTCTCTGTATAAATCCCCAGAAATGGAATTGCTGTGTAACCTGGTACTTGTTTGTAAATATTGGAAAATCCTCCATCATGTTTTGTTAGTGACGGCACCAATGTGTTTACAATCTTGCTGATGGTGCACTAATATTCTCATTGCTCCATTTCGTTTGTAATACTTGTCGTTTTTTGATTTATGGATGATTGCCATCTTGTTAGGTGTTTGGTGGTATTTCATGGTGGTGTCCATTTACATTTCTTTGATGATGAATGATTTGAACATCATTTAATATGTCTATTGCGCAACTTTATGTCCTGTTTGGGAAATGTCTATTCAAGTCTTCTGCCCACTTTTAATCATATTATCTTTTTGGTGTTAAGTTGTGTGAGTTCCTTATATATTTTGGATCTTTAGCTTTTGAGGATGTAACATTGCTGGGTTTATGTTTTTGTTTATTTTGTGGTTCCTTTTGGTATGCCAAACTTATTCTTTTGTAGTCTCATTTATTTATTTCTTGGCTTCTTTGTTATGCTTCACAAGAAATATCCAAACCAGTACTTTAAATAAAGAGTGATGGTAAAGTTCATTGACTATGCTTCTTCCAGTATGCGCAACTTTATGTCCTGTTTGGGAAATGTCTATTCAAGTCTTCTGCCCACTTTTAATCATATTATCTTTTTGGTGTTAAGTTGTGTGAGTTCCTTATATATTTTGGATCTTTAGCTTTTGAGGATGTAACATTGCTGGATTTATGTTTTTGTTTATTTTGTGGTTCCTTTTGGTACGCCAAACTTATTCTTTTGTAGTCTCATTTATTTATTTCTTGGCTTCTTTGTTATGCTTCAGAAGAAATATCCAAACCAGTACTTTAAAGAGCGATGGTAAAGTTCATTGACTATGCTTCTTCCAGTGTTTTCATGGTTTCAGGTCTTATATTTTAGTTGTTAATCCATGCTGAGATAATTTTGGTTCATGGCCTATGAACTGGGTCTAGTTTTATTATTTTTTCATGTGTCTGTTCCGTTTTTGTTGCACTACTTGGTGAAGAATCTGTCTTCACCTATTGTGTGCTATTGCCTTCTGTCTTACAGATTAGTTAACCATATAACTTTGGACATTTTTTAAGTTGTGTTACTTCTTTTGCATGTTTTCTTGTAAAAGATCTGTATATAATCTACATTTTAACTACTTCTCAAATAATATGCTTTGAAGAAATTTTTTCCCATTTCGAAGCTTGTATTTTTAACATACTGACAGTTTGCTTTAATGTGAAGTAATTTTTATATGGGGTGTAATGCCTTTTGACTGTTTGTTTACCTTTCCTTTTAGTGATATAATAAAAAATCACATTTCATAAAAACTTCTATATGTCCTAGCTAGACTGGCTCAATGGATAGTGTGTCAACCTGCGGACTGAAGGATCCCAGGTTCGATTCCAGTCAGGGGCACAGGACCCAGTTGCAGGCTCAACCCCCAGTACGGGCCATGCAGGAGTCAATCAATGAATCTCTCTTAATGTTTGTATCTCTCTCTCCATCTCTATTCCTCTCTGAAATCAATAAAAATGTATTTTAAAAAATGTTTTCTATAAGTTTTTTTAAAATAGATTTTTATTAGCTTTATGTTTCAATCTTTTATCCATTTTGGTTTCATATTTGTATATGGCATTTAATAACAGTCCAATTTCACTCATTCCTTTACATGTAGACATCTGAGTATCTCAATACTATTCGTATATGTGAGAATATCCTTTATTACTTTGGTGGTATAAGCACCCTTGTAGAAGATTATTTTACCTCATTCCTGAGAAGTTGTAAGTAGGCTCTTTATTTTACAGTGCTTCTTTTTTTGTAGTTGTTGTTATTCCTCACATGAGGACATTTTTTCCATTACTTTTCAGAGAGAGTGGAAGGAAGGGAAGAATGAGGGGGAAGAGAGAGGGCAACATCGATGTGAGACACATCGACTGGCCCCCTCTTTCTCACACTTCAACCCAGGTGGGGTAAGAATTTGCAACCAAGGTCTGTCCCTTTAAGGGGAATTGAACCTGCAGCCCTTAA